GTCATTAGTCATTAGTCATTAGGCATTAGTCATTAGTCATTGGTCATTAGTCATTAGTCATTAGTCATTAGTCATTTGTCATTTGTCCAGAATATGGAGTACCTGATTTGCTACGTCCTATTGATATAGCACGTTAATCAACAGCAATGTACCAGGAAAATCAGGCGAGAATGCCTTTCTGGGTGTATATTCAAAGTTTCAAGTCTATAACGGCAAAATGTTTTGCGTTCATGTGGACGGGCACAAAACCAATACACTGCAAAAAGAAGATTAATAAAAACAATGATGCTAATGAAATGCAAATCAAGACTTGCGGGCTCTGGCCAGAGAAGAGCATTAAAATGATTTTGACATTATGTATATAAATATATCATTACTTGATATGCCATATATGTGTATATTTAAGGATTATGTGTGGTTCCATTTTAGTTCTAAATCAAATTCTGGGTATTATAGCCCAAAGTCTGAAATGGCTGCTGGCGTTCGAATGCACAGCTCGTATATCAAAGGGGCAAAGTTTTTCCATAAAGTGAGTAAGAACGAGTAAGAAAAGAAAACTCTTAAACCTTTAATAGCATCAGCTGTGCGTCGACGCTTTGCTTTGTTGCTTGTCAATCAAAATTGCATTTTGTTTTTTAATTTTCCACTTCACATTTTATACAGTTTTCCCCGCAGCAGCAGCAGCAGCAGCAGCGACATGAGGAAAACCGGAAAAGCTTGTCCTCCTATTGGGGGGAAAAACTTCAAAAACCGAAAGCCGAATGGCAGTCAGCTGCCTAGTTGTTGTTTCTGTTGGTTGTTGTTGCAGTTGTTTGCTGTTGTTGTCACAGCAAGGCATTAATTATGTCATCAACAAGCCGTCGACGCAGTAGACGTATCCTGTTGACAGTCACACACACACATACGAGCACACACGTATACACTGGGAGTGAGAAAAGTTTTTCGCATGTGGCAACGGAAGTCACGTCGTCGTCGTCGCTTTCGTCGTTTGGCTTTTCAGTTTTCCAGTGAAAATTCATCGCGCCAACCACTTATTAAATAATAAAAGTCAATATGAAAGCAGGCGTTCTGGCACAATAAACTGACAACGAACCACAAATATGTATGTAGACAACCACGCATAACCAAGCCAAGCCACGCCCCATTCTCGACTCACCTTCAAGTTTTGAGGAGGCTTACGATGCCTATTCTATTACCAATATCTGACAAAGGAACAAAGAACTAGTTGCTCGCTGTTAGCTCATGCGTGAGCCAGCTCCATGCTGTTCATGAATTTGGCTTTCGATATACCCCATATGAGTTCTCTTCCATTATTCTATATATATACATATATTGTATATAGAACGAGAAACCAAAACTAAAAGCACTCCAAATTTTTCAATTTCACTTATTTCGTTTACAACACATTTATTGCTTTATTTAACTTTTAATTCCTATTTACCTGTTGAAAAAAGAAAATTCTATATTTTTTACAACAATTTAAATGTCAAATACTTGATCAACAAAGTTTGTATTAGCTTACAACTCTAGGGAGCCTGCATTGTGTGTATTTTGTATGAAAATGTAGCCCCGATAAATATTTGTTGTGTAAAAATAAAACAGAATCCAGAGAAGAATTCTCATATATGAGCAGATACAAATACACACATACCCACATAGAGAGATACGCAGAGAGATACAGTTATAGATATAGATATAGCTATAGACATAGATATAGATACTTATGCACGTTCCTTCGCTGACAAATAGAACATTTTCATTTTCATTCCAGCTTAAAAATAACCTCGGCGCACAGACTCACGTTTGGCTTTTTCTGAATTTTCCGGCATTCGTCGGGTCAAATAGCTTTTTGGGGAAAAGTGAAAATTGTCCCATAAAACTCAATTAATTTATGTACATCCTATGGCAACATGAATAGTTTCACTCCAAAATAAACAGAAGCATAGCGAACGTTATGAGAATGCCCAACT